GTGGAGTCATTCGTAACCTGGGAACTTCCTGTACTACTTCTAGTTAGAGTTAGCATCCTTTGTCCTCAAGCCTGAGATTTCTGGGGGGGGGGTGGGAGGGGGAGACAGTTAAACCATGTTCACCTGATGTAGTGGACATCTTTTGTTTGTGCCTTCTTCATTCTTTTTAGCAACATCTTCCCTTTCCTTTGAAGAACTGCTCCCCCTTCCCCTATATCAGGAGTCCCCAACCTATGGTGAATTGTATAATTATTTCATTATATATTACAATGTAATAATAATAGAAATAAAGTGCACAATAAATGTAATGGGCTTGAATTATCCTGAAATTATCTCCGCAGCCCCCCACCCTGGTCCGTGGAAAAATTCCCTTCCATGAAAATGGTCCCTGGTGCCAAAAAGGTTGGGGACCACTGCTCTATATGGCTATATGACTCTATATGGCTCTAGTGGAGCTGTCCTACCACACTGTCCTGTCCTCTTTGACACAGGAGTGGGGCATATGACTCATATCGGACTGATCAGAATACTTGCCTAGAATGTAAAAAATGAAGATGAAGGAATGGCCTCTCTCTTTTCCCTTGGACTGCAAGCTATAAAGATGTGATTCTAGAGCTATTTAAAAGTCATTTCCCTGTCCATGAGGTCAGAGAGATAGAGAGTCAGAAAGTTCTGACAACTGGGTATAAGATATGCTGTAAGTGGTTTTTATCCCTGTCCTTTCCAATTACATTAGCCAATAAATCCCTTTCTTCATCTAGTTTGAGTGGGTTTCTGTTATTTGCCATCAAAAGCTCTGTCCTGTTGACACACCTTTCACCTTATTTGTGAGAAATAAATCTGTGAGAGGAGCACCAGCATTCTTGAGAAGCTTGGTGATTGCACTTCTCTGTAAGCCAGAACTTAAAGTGGGAACAAACACCTCCACTGAACTGGGAAACCTATTAACCCTGCAGGTGAAGAGTACCTACTGAATTGGAAGCAGAGAGAAACTGGATCAGGTTTATATTTTTGAAAGATTGCTCTGGTGTGAAGATGTGTAGGATGAATTGGGGTGGTGGTAGAAGCAAAGGGGTCTTTCTGAGGCCCTGACTGGTGCCTTTTGTTCTTGTCCCCATTTCTTCTCATAGGCCTCAGGGGCTTCCCCTATTTCTTTTTCCTTTGATACTTGCCACCATCTTCTCTGTCCATTGGGGTACATTTTTCCACAAAACTCCCTAAAAAGTAGGACATATGTGTCCCAGCTTCCCATATTATGTTGCATGGGCTTTTTGATTTTAATAATTTTATTGCTATTTATTATGGGAATTCAGGTAAGAGGTAACAAAAATCACAAACATGCAGATGTTTAAAAATCTTATAAAGTTATTTCTTTGTTTCATTAGAAATGGCAACTGGAAGCTCTGATGTTCTTCAACCATGGGATCTGGTGGGACCAAACAGGGAAATGGACTTACATAAAGAGACAATGAATGACACCTCCTTACCATCATTGCTTTCTTTTTGTTGTTGTTGTTAGTTCTGAACTTTTTTTTTATTTAAGACATGAGGGTCTCAGTATGTCACAGGCTGGAGGGCAGTGGTGCTATCATAGCTCACTGCAGCCTCAAACTCCTGAGGTGAAGCCATCCTCCCACCTCAGCGTCCCCAGTAGCTAGGACTATAGGTATGTGCCACCATAACCGGCTAATTTTAAAAATTTTTTTAGAGATGGGGTCTCACTATGTTGCCTAGGCTGGTCTCAAACTCCTGGTCTCAAGCAGTCTTCCTGCCTCGGCCTCCAGAAGTGCTGGGATTACAGATGTGAGCCACCATGCCTTAGTTCAAAACTTTTTGGTTAGGAGAGAAAATCCTTTCCATTTCCTCAGATGTTTAAATTAGGCTCAGATGTCTCCTTTCTTTCATAGATCATTTATTTTCTTCTTCCACAGGCTGTATTCCCAAAGGTCCAGGTAAGGCAGAGCTCCCTATAAAGGGAGGTCAGACATACAAAGATCTTCTGTGTTAGTATCTTAACTGGCATATGGTTACAGAGTGTTCTTTGTTGTGGTGGGTTAGTGAGGTTTTTCAAGGCTGGGTTGGGAAAATATTGACCTTCAAAGTTTCTTCCTCTTAAATGGTGCATAAGCATCTTCCAAGACAGCTGTAGAATGGAGATGGATAAGATAAAACTGATAGTCACTGTGACAGAGTAGCAGGCAGACGAGGAAAGCAAAGGGTTCAACAGATTATTATAGTTACAGCATGAAAATTTTGGTGGTACTGCTCGCATTTTCATTGTGGCATGGACAGGTTTGCTGTCAGTGCACAAAGGGTTGCTTAAGCATTGGAACCATACCTTGACTCCTGGGCAATATTGCTGAGGTCTTATCAGAACCTCTTAGATTGAGGGTTCTGAAGCTAAAATGTACATCCACAGAGCCTTTTGTTTCTTGAATTAAGAAAAGTGGGCCAGAACATGGTGGCTCACATTTGTAATTCCAGCACTTTAGGATGCGCACGTGGGAGGATTGCTTGAGGCCAGGAGTTTGAGACCAGCCTGAGCAAGAGTGAGACCCCGTCTCTACAAAAAATAGAAAAATTGGCCGGGTGTTGTGGCATACGCTTGTAGTCCCGGCTACTTGGGAGGTTGAGGCAAGAGGATTGCTTGAGCCCAGAAGTTTGAGGCTGCAGTGAGCTATCATCAGGCCACTGCACTCCAGCCTGGGGACAGAGTGAGACTCTGTCTCTAAAAAAAAAAATCTATTTCTCTATCTATCTATATCTCACCTATTAACAAACAGCTCACTGCTTTTTAACTTTGCTCTGGGTGATCTAGGGACCTGTTTAAGGGCTTGAGATATCAAAGGGCTTTTAGGTGGGAAATACTTTGATGAGTTAAATGTGACATTTTCCAGCCTTTCTTTGAGGCAAGTGAAAGACATTTTTCTCTCTAAGAAAAACTGAAAGCCCTTTGCTCTATCATATAACCAGACATAGAAGGTTAATTCTGCTAAGAAGATATGGCTCCTTTCACTCATTCAAAAACATTTTTGATCTCTTACTTTGTGCTTGGGTCTATACTAGGTTTTGGGTTTGCAAAGACGTGTTATAGCTTCAAGAAACTTATAGACCAGGGGGGAAATATACAAAGAAAATCACAAAATATCAAAGCATATTGCTTCACGGGGGCAGCTCAAAGAATGAGCAGTTAATGCATGGCTCTAAGTCTGTCTGGGGGAGACAAAAAAGGCTTTCCTGAAGTGGCAGCATTTAAACAGATGGGGCGGGGATTCCATGAGGAGTTACAAAAGTGTGTAAAAGATTTGAGGATCTTGGCCCACTTGGGGAAATACCTGTTCAGCTTTGTTCGAGTGTATAGGGCTGGAAGGTGGAGTAAGACCAGACACTTAAACAGTGGTTAGAACTTCAGGAGTTGTGTGTGTCACGTAAGTTTTAAATTTGATTGTTAGTCTAGAGCCATTAATAGAGTTCTGATAACCATCTACATTTGACTAAAGATACAATTTAAATGTTCTTAAAGCAAATACCCAGGAAATTAACTTTCAGAAATATTATCACTCTCTAATCAAGTCTCTCTTGGCAGGAATGGTGCATTAATTCATGGAATTAATCGTTCATGAGTCAAACGCAAGGCTGTTACAGCTAGGCAGTTGCTAGTCCTCTCAGGTGGGCCATTGGAGGCTGGCCAGCAGTTTCTTAAGCCCAGGCTCATAGCTAGATATTTGAAACTTACGGTACTCCCTCCACCTCCACAATAAACTAGGGCTAGGGAGGAAATGACTAAAGGTGGGGATGGGGTGCGGAGGGCTTTTAGAGGTCAGGCATATTACACAGAGTGTTAAGTAGGAAACCTAATTGCCTGACACCAGAAAGAGTGACCAAACCTGAATGGCAATTTGCAGTCAAGAATTTTGGTACCTTCTTCCCCCCACCTCACCCAATTCTTCACAATTTTTCTTCAGTCTTATGTCCCTTTTCCACCCTGATTTTGTTTGTCCCCCAGGATCCTCTTTTCATCCCTCCTGCTTTTTTTCCTCCACTTCCTCCGCTCCGTGGGGTGCCGGAACTTGGGGCCTGGGAGTTGTACTGGGCGCACTCTCCGAGCTATTTGCTTTGCTAAGAACTTCACCCTCCTCTTTCCGTCATTCCCTGACAGGCGCCAAGTTTCTCCCTCCCTCACCGCCCGGTCCCTGCCCCCGGGTGGCGGATCCAGGAACTCCAGGCGGATGCGGCCACGAGCCCCTGCCACGTCTCAGCTGCCAGCAGTCCAGCGCCTGCGTGGGCTCCGGGGGCGGGGCGGCACTGGGAGGCGGGAGCTTCGCGTGAGCGGCGCGGACGCAGTCCAATGGAGACTGCCGGCGGCGGCGCGGTGCGCGCCGAGGGGCGGGGCGCGGCGGCGGTTGCTGGCTGAGTCGGGGAGGTGCAGAAGCCTGTTGTTGCCGTGGCCGTTGCATCCTCGAGGGTGTCGTGTCGGCGCCACCCCGGCTGCTGAGCACTCCGATCGCCCCCGAAGCTAGTGTGTGTGCCCCTGACCCCGTCAGCTGTTCGCGTCTCGCCCTGTGGGCCGTGCCTCCTGCATCATGTGCGGTAAGGAGGCCGGGGGAGGGGGGCGTGTTGCGGGGCGGTGCTGGGGTGCGGTGCGGGCGCCGCTGAGGCCCGAGGCGCCCGGCAGGAGCGGGAGTGAGGAGGTTGCGAAGTCTGGGTGATGGGCGAGGGGCGTCCTGCAGTGGCTGCGGGTGCTGGGGGCGGGAGCCGGCGTCCGCGGGCAGGAGGAGGGCTGGTGGACCCGAGGAGGGCACCTGAGAGAAGGGCGGGCCATAGAGGGGATATTGGGGGCCGACGGGGACGTGGGGCGTCTTTGCGCGGAGAAGGAACCGAGAGGGGAGAGAACTAAGAAATGCCTATGTGGAAAAGGAGGAGAGGGCTGAGGGAATTGAGGTGTGGAGGGGGTGCCTTCAAAAGGGTCCACCAGGTGAATGAGGCAACCTGTGGAACATACAGGGTGAGGTCCTCTTATCTTGCATTCTTCTAGGGTTTACCTTTCAAAAAATATTTATTTTCAGTTGCTTTTTTTCGGGCAGGGCCAATAGAAAACAGACTCTAGCTAGAGCTAAGACAGTGGCATTAAACGTGATCTTACTTCCTGCCACCCCCTGTCTCAACAGAAACCAGTGCTAATCAATAACGTGGTGAATGGGCTTGATCCTGATCTTCTTGTGGAGGAGACACGGAAGTATCTGTGGCAGTAGATTATATAGCGTTTACCATTTGCATGTGCACGCATTAAAAAATACCAGCTATGAAAAATATCCCTTGGGTGTGCACCCATTTAAAATACTAGTTATGAAAAATCTAACATGTTTTTCCTAGAACAATTAAAAAATAAAGTTAGGCCCTTTTGTTTCATGTTTTGAGAGTTAGTCGTTTTATTATTACCTAAAAGTGTTAGTGAAATGGATTGTGAGGCTCATACCTGACATGACTGATGTACTCTACAATTGGTATTAACTTGGCCATTGTCAGTAAAAAGAATTGTATTCTTACCTTTCTTGTTGAAATTTACAACCGACTTTACCCCTGGAGGAAAGAAGCTTTTTAAAGGAAGTAAAGTTGTCATAGAATTGCAACTATCTGAGATACTTACTTTTTGCCTCCTTTTGCATGAAGGAACTGAGCAGGAGGTGTACTATACTCATCAGTGTACATTTTTCCTGTATTTAACTTTATGCTCATTTCAGCTTCTGAAAACGAGGAGCAGGTTTAAATTTAGAGTAGATTAAAAAAAAACCCACATAAAAACAGAAACACCTATAAATAGCTTACTGAAATTATTAGAGTAGAGCTGACTTAAGAATCAGTTATACTTTTGCAATGTCTGATTAGTAGAATGGTTTTGCAAAACACATTTACAAACTGGTTAATCACCAATATGCTTCATTTGGTGATTAACTGTTCCTGACAGGAAGGTGTGTTCCTAACCAAGTACCTGACATTCTGGTTACAGGTCATTTCATCATCTTGTTCCAGGAAAAAAGGTAGTCAAAGTACTATAAAATAAAAAAAATAAGATTTAGTTTAGAAAGGTTCAAATAAGGTTGAGACTTTTAGGGTAGAGACTAAATGTTGGGAGTTTTCATGTAGCTAGTATCTCCTTTCCACAGAGTTTTACTGCTGAGGAAACAGGTTATGAAGAATGAAGAATGAATAAAAAATTAGTATTTGGGCCAGGCGCGGTGGCTCACGCCTGTAATCCTAGCACTCTGGGAGGCCGAGGTGGGAGGATCGCTTAAGCTAAGGAGACCAGCCTGAGCAAAAGTGAGACCCCCATCTCTACTAAAAATAGAAAAATTAGCCAGATGTGGTGGTATAGGTCTGTAATCCCAGCTACTTGGGAGGCTGAGGCAGGAGGATTGCTTGAGCCCAGGAGTTTGAGGTTACAGTGAGCTGTGTTGATGCCACTGCACTCTATCCACTGCACTCTGCAGCGAGCTTCTGTCTCAAAAACCAAACAAACGAGCAAACAAACAAAAAACTAGTATTTTAGGCATTTCTAAAGTCCTGCGTTTAACTCAGACCAGAGTTTTGCATGATTCTGGGAGTTGTGTTCAGAATTTATTTCTTCTCTAATGTAAATTTTAAAAGTTGAGTTTATCATTATTTTCTTCCCACATCT